AGGACAACTGTAGGGGAATGCAGCAGAGAAGTGGTCGAAGAGGGGAACTGAGGCAGGGTTTGTTGGAGAAGTGTATACAGCTAGGGTCAACCCAAGTAAAAATTGGGATTATACTGTAGATCATACACAATCTCTCGAGGAAGCTCCTTCCCTTTTGTTTTGGGAATCCACGTGTCACGGCTCAGCCATATTTCCAATATTCCTCCACTACCAAAATGAATGTAGCCCTAAGCTCCTCACAGCATCTTTCTCCTCTCCAGGGACACTCTCTAGCACTAGTTCCCGTTAGCCTCCCTTGTCAACACAGCATTTCCTGCAGTATTCCTAGTATTCCTGTCATCAAATTGTCCCAGGAGGCCCTAGGACTCCTTCCACGACCTCCTACTGCCTCCATAACAGCAGAGCTTCTCGTTAGCCATTACTCTCGGGCAGGCTTCATTTCATCCTCTGATCTGTCGTATTTTACAATTAGAGCTGGAGAAGGATTTGTTCCTCTCTCCTATACACTTTTCCATCCTCTTTGCACTTGAAGGTTTATCACTAATATGCCTTTTCCTTACAGGACTGGATCTCTGATTACTTTTCACACTTTGTCAAACAAAACCCTGGGGCATCCTGGAACACTTTCTAATTCAGCTCACTTTCTCCCTCCTTCTCACTATCTTTTCCCATGGGATTCTTTCCGGCATACACCTCCTTCAAACAAGCTTATTCTCTGCTGAAATTTCAGGTCCTCGTTTTCTCCCTTTTCAGCCCTGATTATAAATCAATGGTTCAAAATTGCTGAGATCTTTCAACTGCCTCCCCCCTCCCACTCCTCTCAAGGAAATCTCAAAATGATCACAAAGTTATTTCAAGCAAAGGCAGACACTGTGTGAGCGCTCTGAAGGTAAAACAGAGCCACTCCCCTCAGAAAAGGCGTGGCACTGAGAGGGCTTCTGAAATCTGTTCATAAGCATGCAATTAAAAGGCATTCTGCTGCTGCCGGTAAGTCAGTCTGTTCCCATTTCTGATTTCAATGAGCAGTTCTGGACTGATTTCATTTTACCCCAGTGTATGTGAGAGGGGAATCAGTC